TCGTAGAACCGACACTCTTAATTACTCAACTAAATTGTAAAGAATGAGAAACAGACAAGATACAAAGTATGTAATTGTACATTGTGCAGTAAGATCTTCTATAATGTATGATTTTATATCTAAAAAAACAAGCATCAAACTGCTGTGTTTTTGTGCAATTAACATGTAATTTCCTGCCGTGTTTCCTCTTCTCTAAATACTGTTTCCTGCTAATCCATTATTTGGTGCTGCCTATGCAAACTGGATACTCCACAGCAGTTAACTACTCAAGCATGTCTTTATTTAGCAAAATTATGTGAAGCATTTTGTTATTACATTCTTGGCTATACCATTTAAATGTTCAACTTCCTGAGATCGTCTTTCACTTGTTCGAACCAAATCTCTCTTTTCAGCTTCTAGTTCTTCTTTTTCTCTACTTAAATGGCTCTGAAAAATATTGCAAAAAAGGAAGAAAGAAATCTGATCAGCTTTCTGTAACAGTTTATAGTCACTATTTACACTTAACATCACAAAGAAGCATGGTAAACAACAATAAGTTACCGCAGTCAACTACAGTGACTGAAAAATGGGATAAGAAGCTTTTAGTGCGGGCAGATGAATCAGTCTAAACTACACAGTACGAAAGCATGGCTGCTTTCATTTTTTCTATCATGTTAGGATATACAATTCAAATAAATTCAGGTTAATGTACCTCTTTCTTCTAATGCCTAATAGCCAACACATTTCAATTAATGTTTTTTTCCCCACAAATCACTCAGGTAACTCATGTCTAGCCGATCCTTTGTGCTTAAATAGAAATGCCACTATCACATAAGATTAGACAGCGCAGATGAGAGAATTATCATGGTGCTTTAAAGATCAGCTTGTAAATTACAAAGACATGTGGTTTTCATGCCTTTGCTTTTCAATTGGTGTAGAGGGGTCCAGACTGCCAGAAGACTCCCTCTGCTTCTAGCTGTATTTGAATGCAGATCAGAATGAAAAGTGTTGAACTTAAAGCCGATGAAAGTAACTAAAGGCCTAACAGAAATCCAAACAAAGAATGGGAACTGTTCAAAAATGCATCTGATTTTAATATCCTTTGAAAGACAGCTTTGATAGTTAAGGCTCAAATTAAAGAGTACTATTTGGTTGAATAAAAGACATAACCAAGTAACTGAAGAATGAACACATGTAAAAAATCAAAATCAAATAAAAATCCGTGGTCTTGGATCATTTATAGGCTACAGTACTGCCTCTGTCTTGTAAGGCGTCAATACAAGCCATCCCAGCTAGGCCCAGGTATGCCCCTCTGGGGAAACAATCAGATCCATCTTCCCATTGTGGATAAAAATATCTAATAATAATGTTGTGCTTCCTGCTCCAAAATTAGTGTTCTGCTGGACCAGTCAGCTAAAGTGACTCATCCTGCAACCCCATGACTTTTGAGCACAATGCAAGGAAAACTGTGCCAGGATATGGGAAAGGATGGGGGAAATCCAGAATTCCTCTTTACACTTTTGAGGTTCAGCTTAAAGTCACTTCAGAACAGGTTTCAGACAGAATGAAACAAAAGCATCTGCTCTGACATACGTTCAGTTGTACAGTTTGCTACAAGACCAGTACTTCCTTAAAAAACCCACACAATTTTACTGTATACATGGCCATAAGAATACACGTTTGCACTGATACTGTCCAGTTTGGAAGTTGACTACATTCTTTGCTGCAATGAGACAACTCAACCAAAATCTTTCAACTTATAGACAAGTTCTTCCACTACCTGAATGGCTGCATTACGATCCTGAGCAGCTTCAAGTTCTTTATTTTTCTCATTCAGGGATTTCAACTGTTCATCTGTGGGATAAAACTATAGTTCTTCCACTACCTGAATGGCTGCATTACGATCCTGAGCAGCTTCAAGTTCTTTATTTTTCTCATTCAGGGATTTCAACTGTTCATCTGTGGGATAAGAAGGAAGAGTAATGAGGTATCTCCCCTGTAACATAACAACAGAATTCACTCTCCAAACCCAGCCTAAATTTCCCTTAACAACATGAATTAAAAAAAAAAAAAAAGGAAAACCAAAAAAGAGAAGAATTCAAGACTTCACTACGGACAGACTAGGTAGTATTATGGCAAACTAATGCAATCCTTAGACCAGAGGCATTGATTGTAAAGATCAATACATAACCCACTTCATTACTACTACTACAAAATCAGAAAGCAACTTTACTTCTTCCATTAGAACAAAAAATCCATTTTAAAAAAGCAGACTTGAATGCAAAAGCAAAACACGCAGAAATAACAAATGTAGTCAATGGATGGATTTTCAACCCCTATTTAAAATTTAAAGCATTTCAGCATAACAGTGAACTGAAGAATTAATATTCTGTCTAATCTTAACAATGTGCAGTTATACTTACGAAGTTTTTTAAGCTCTTCACGGAGAGTTTGACATTCTTGTGTCTCATTTACAAGTCTTTCCTGACTTTGAGCCAGACGCTTTTCTACTTCAAAGTACTGTTGTTCTGCAAAACAACAATGTTATCTCAATTTCACTTTATTACAAACATTTCTTTTTCATTCTCACCTTCATCAAGGATCTTTAACAGACATCTTCATTAAATAATGGTACTTATAAAGAAAATATCTAAAAATATTGAGACTACAGTAGAATTTGAAGAAAAAAAATTCCTTCTGAATGCAAAAAGATGCATTTCCACATTGAATTAACACTGTTTAAAATACTTCATTAGCATGGAAAAGGATACATTTCCAGAAATCTTCCATAAAGTAACACCCTAATCTTTAACATTTTTGATGTAGCTAGAGAACATTGTGTCAGCACAATTACAGAGTGTGGTCCCAGTTAAATGAACTTAAAGCTTCTTTTATCTGTAGCATATTTCTATACACATAAAATAAAAACCACATAACCCTATGAATGAAGAGATTTGATTTAGAAAATTTGTAATGAACACTTCTTAAAGTGAATCCTTGTGCTCTATCCTGCATATATCATAGCACTGAAAAAAAAAATTAGATCTAAATGTTGGTTATCTGAAACAGTAACTGTGTCACAGAGCATACCTGTAAAATACTTAGTAAGAGCAGAACTAATCTCACCCTCAGGCATAGCAGGCTTCTAAGGATTTTTATTTATCTTATGGTTCCTACCATATCTTACATTTTCAAATTTTCATTTCATCTTACACATGAAAGGAAGGGGCCCAAAAGAGGTTAACTTGGTAAAATTTGTTATTTATCTTAATTTACACTATATTTCATGAATTTACTTTGGCAAGATTTTTACCATGAAAGAGACAGAAAGGTCGAAGAAAAGGTGTAAACAGAGTTGACATCAGAAGTATGTCACCTACCCGATAAATTAACTCATATTCACAACTCTGCATTTACCATGAAAGAGACAGAAAGGTCGAAGAAAAGGTGTAAATAGAGTTGACATCAGAAGTATGTCACCTACCCGATAAATTAACTCATATTCACAACTCTGCACAGCGCTTACACCATCCATTTCTCATTTTTACTCCAGTTCTCTACTGGTATTATCCAGCACTTACACTCATCCATGCTCTTTTCCCATTTTTACTCCAGTTCTCTACTGGTATTATTTTCATGTGGTCAAGTAATCCATATAAAAACACTGATTTTATCAGGAGCATTTTGCAAAAATGTTATGGTCTCCAACATGGAATTTCACAGAAAAAGCATAACCCCAAGACTATCTGAGAGCTGGGTAAACAAATCATTGTTTTTCTTCGAGGCAAGGATCAAAGCAGACTGAAATTCTTGTTAAAAATCTGATTAAAAGCTATTTTTAAGCCCATTTTGAATGAAGTATTAATCCTGAATAGTCCTTCGGAAAAAAATATAATAATAGTAAAAGAAAAGCCAGAAAAATATCAGACTCCTCTTGCCAAACAAAAGTGAGAGAAAAAAATCTTATCGGGTCTCAACTGAAAGGACCCTTCCCAGCCAAAGGACACACACCCCGTCTCAGGGCCCCTGGCCAGGCAGAATACGCACACACCCACCGCACAGCCCCCAGGTTACCCCCTAAAAGCGTTTCGAAAACAACAACGACACGGTCAGGCCCAGCTCTACCTCCCTCACTCCTAGAGGGGACCACCACATTGCTGCTCGCTAAAAACGCATCGGAGGGGCGACGAGGCGCCCAGCTCGACCCCAGCCTACCCATCCCCTGCCGGCCCACTGCCCCTGCTCGGCCACCGGGGCGAGCAGATACCGCTCAACCCTTAGGCGGATCAGCCCCCTCCGCACGGAGCACCCCGGGGCCTGCCCCGTTCCCGCTGCCCCTCGCCTCCGTTCCCGTCCTCCCGTCTTCCCCGCTCCCCAGACTCACCGCTGTCCACCTTGAAGCGCTCGTGCCTGGCTCGGAGTCCGTCGATCTCGCTCTGCTGGTCGGCCAGGAAGCGCTCCAGCTTCCCCTGCACCGGCTTGGGCAGCTTGGAGAGCTCGGCCCGCTCCAGGACCTGCTGGAGCACGGCCGCCATCTTGGAGGCAGGCCAGAGCGCCGCTGCGCTTTCCGGCCTAACCGCCACCGGGCCGCCACACGCCCGACGGCGCAGGCGCCGCAGTGCCGCATGCGCGAGAGGGGAGGCAGGGACAGGCGGAATCATGGGAAGTGTAGTTTTCCAGAGGGGAAGCAGAGCCGCTAAGGGAACTTCCCCTTCCGGTGGGGAGAGGCTTTTCCGCCATGTTGAGCGGGGCCATGGTTGCTGGTTGAAGTGTAAAAGCGGCCGAAATCGACACAGGAGGCCTCAAGGCTTCGTCTCGAAGCTCGCCGTGACGTCTCTCGCTTTTCTAAGTCGTTCTGCGCCGCCGGGAGATGCCGGAGGAGGCCTCACGGCTTCCGCCACTCAGAGCATGGCGGCGCCCTCCCTCGGCGCGCCCTTTTCCCGCGCTCGGGTCTGAGGGACGTGAGGCGGCGGTGGGTTGGGGCGCGTCATCTCCCCGCGCCGGGGCGCGAGTGGCACCTCTCAGTGACGCGCCTGTTAGCCACCTCAGGGCTCTGCTGAGGCGGCGGCGCTGGGGTGAGGTGGCGGCGGCCGAACCTGGGGACCCGGCGGTGGCCGTGCCCGTCAGGCTAGTGCGGGGAGCGTTGGGGGCGGCCCGCGCCCCGAGGCGGTGGGAGAGCTGTGCGGGAGCCGCCGCCGAGTTGTCGGCCGGGCTCCAGTGCAGGTGCAGGCGGGTGCAGAGGTGCTTCTGGCCCGGCCAAGGTGTGGGCTGAGGTGAGGTGGGCGACAGCCATCCTTCCCGCCCCGGTCCAGGGCTTCAGCCGCGCCATTCCCCTGCAGCTTTCACCGGCAGACAGCTTTGCGGAGACTCGGAACGCCCTTTGCTTCCTCGCCGTGTGCTCTTTGGCTTCAGCGTTTTCATAGTTAATTTTTTCAGAAAGTCCTTAGTGCATTAAGCCGTTTTCAAAATAGGTCTGCATGCAAGGGAGGAGTGTCTGTGGCAGTCCCCATGTCCTGGCCGTCTGGGTGCATGTGGCTACGGATAGAAGCTGTAAAGATGGCCTTTGAGATGGTGCACAGGTCCTGTACTTTTAATGAGTTAGGAATTGGAAAGAAAATTGTGCACAGCATGTTAACGTACAGAATTTAGCAATATAGACATGTTTTTCCTAGCATTTGCTTGCATGACCTGCCATATTGTTTCAGTGATAGGTATTTAAAATAGTTTTATTTCAAAAAACGATAACATACTTTTTCCCTTAGTATAGACAGTTATATTTTTCATAATGTAAATGCTGGCAGATTGTAAAGCTACTTAGCCTTTATTAACAGATGGAGTATTAACATATTTAGGATATTTTATTGAGACTAGTGTAGTATATATACTTATGTATATACTATAACAGGTGTAGTATATATAATTTCTTTGACTCCATACATTATTTGTTTTACAGGTTGAAACTACAACAGTCCTAAACCTGCAGCAATGGGTAGAACTTACTTTGTTGAGGAATCTATTGAGCAGTATCTTTTAGACCTCACCACAAAATTAAAGCCTTATGTCACTGGCCTGTTAATAGGGCAGGTGAGTGTGTAATATCTGAAGTCTGTTCCATTCATTCATGATAATAGGGGAAAACTCCCTTGGCCTTAATCATCTGGGATATGTTTGTTAACATCAAGTTGAGTGTGTATAATGCAGGAGAGTGATAAAATGATCGGGGGGACTTCTGTAAAGGGTTTGCAATGTCAACCGACTACTCAAGTCTTTTAAAATAATCTTGTGAAAGATGTGACAGGCAGAAAAGAAATTAAAATCATAAAGATAAAACTTAGCACTAAACAAGGCTTTAAGGCAAAGGCAAATTCATGAAGGAATTATTTTGTAGCAGGTTACTATAGAGTTTAGTAATACCTACTGCAAAGCAGACCTTACAGTTACTATACTACACAATATATTCTTAGACTTGATTTCAACCTCATAGCATATTTGCTTCTTTTGATGTTTTTGAAAGTGTTCCCCACAAAGAGACTATGTGATTCGGGCTGTTCGAACGCCTCCAAAGGAAGAGCAGAAGGAAGACAACATCAGTCTTTCAAAACTGGCATCTATTGATGAAGAATGGATAACTACGCATGCCAGTCAGGTAGCACAGTATGAGTTAATGAAGGGGATGGGAGGAACAGAAAGCAAATGTCTTACAAAAACTGTCTCATCACTTGTGTAATCTCAAACTGTTTTCTCAAAGTAAAAGAACCTTCCTAGCCATGCTAGGCATGGATATTTTGAAACAAAATATATACATAAATATTTAAACAAAATACCGGTATTGTTTTCAAATACAATCAGATGCCAGATCTCCGATTCCTATTTATACATGTTCATTTTTATTTTTAAGGTTTCTAGAATGCTTCCTGGAGGCTTATTAGTTCTTGGTGTATTTATTATTGCAACTCCAGAACTGTCGAAAGATAGTCAAAGCACTTTACGCAGGGTAAGTAGAGTTCCTGGTGGAAAGACACAAATATCTTCAGGTGTGTAGCAGAACAATTTTATATCATTTTCTTGAGTATAATGGTTGTTTTGTTACATTATTTCCAAAAGCACAAATGTTCTCATTTGCTCTATGGTTTTTAGACTGAAATTGCTGTCTTTTGGAACTGTACCACAGTTAGTAAATACAAACTTTCTGTTTCTTGTGACATTTGTTACTGCAATAGCAAATCTTACTGTATTTACTGAAAGTGAACAGTAAGGGAAACATCTTCAAGGTTTATAGAAAGCTAAGTCCTTGTGGCACATTGGTTAGCTTTTTTTTGTCTGAATTAGTTGCTAAGATTAGTGAACACTAAGGGAAACATCTTCAAAGTTTATAGAAAGCTAAATCCTTGTGGCACATTGGTTAGCTTTTTTTGTCTGAATTAGTTGCTAAGATTAGAGATAGTTATAATAGTGAAATATGTGTAGTTCTGATTCCATTAAAAGGAATATCTTGTATACACAATATCACAAATAGTAGCATTTGACTTAGATTTGTGGGTTTATATTTAAAAACTACTTAGGACATGCTACTGTCTCATAGACTTAAAATGCATTTTTGTTACAGTATTGGGGCATCTAGTGCCACTTTTAGTTCTGTTCTGTAGATGTAGGTTCGTTTTGTCATTTTCATAAGGTAAGCATAAGTGATTTAAAGATGAATTGGTTTCAAAGCTGAAGGTCAGATTCAGGTTTGGCAGCGCAATGCAATCACATCTCAGCTGTGATCACTGAAACCAGTAGCCAATAAAAAAAGGTGAGCTGTGTCCAGGTCATCAGTGATCCCTGAATTATTATTACTTTTTTTTTTAATGGAAAATTTTTCACAGCTGTCTTTCTGGATCCTCAACCACTAGGCATAAAGCTGTAATATTTTTGCAGGGAGAAAAGCATACAAGTTGAATATGTGAATGTGTGGTGTTTGGTTCAGTTTGTAAGGAAGCTGAATTAGGATTTCACAAGCAACTTTTTTGCTTTGGAGTAGTTGCCTATAAACCTTAGTTGAATGTTCTTTTAATGCGGCATTTTGGTGGCATGTAAGCTGTATTTCCCATTTAGGCATAATTATGATATCAGTTGGACTTAGAACTTTAGTGCAAGACTATTTTCCAGAAATTATAATGCATTGTTTTTGTAGAAAAATCTATAATAGTTTTTTTCATCTTTAGATAATCTTCTCAGTGGAAAAGTCCTTGACTAAAAGAAGGCTCTGGAAACCTACTGAGGAAGAGGTCTCAGACAGAGCAGCTCTTCAAATTTGTTCTGCTACAAAAAAGTATCCTTTATGAGCGAGGTTTATTGATTGAGACAACTACCTCTAACCTCATTCTGTATTTTTTCTGAATAAATCATAAATTGGGAGGAGGGAGTTGTTTGAGTTCAGATAGGCATAAGTTGAAGTCATAAAGTTTCCTTGCTATCTGTAAGACTATTGACCCTCTTATCCTTGCAAAATTTTCATCGTTTACTGTTAGATTTGTGTGTGTAGTGGCATCAAATTATGCTTTCCCCAGTCAATTTTGATTTGCATAAATTGAAGAAAACATCTAAAATACTGTATGGCTTCTTGAGCTTGCTGTTACCAGTGATACTTACATGGAAGTGTGCAAGTAGCAGCATGTGGGATCTGCACTAGTGCAGGAGAAGAATGCTGGATCTGTTGATAATGAGTGAATACAAGGAGAGAAAGCAAGGCTTTTCCTTAGAGAGATGAGAGAGACAGGGACAGATTGCAAATTGGTGCGTTGGTGATTCTCCCTGTGAGTACCTATTGATCTTAATGTATTTGTAAGAGATGGGACAGCCTCACTATGGTAGTTGGAGTTTACAGTCAATTTTTTTTCCACTTTTTTACACTAATGAAAGGTGAGATCTTTCTTCAGAGCATAAATTAGCTCAACAAAGAAGGACAAAGTAATTTTTCCTATGTAAAGGACAAAGTAATTTTTCTTTAGTAAATAAAAAAAGTAAGTAAATTTAAAAAGTAAATAATACTTTTTCTTTAAGTAGAAGTAAGTAAATTAAAAAAGTAAATAATACTTTTTCTTTAAGTAGCAAAGAGTAGTTTGCCGAACCTATGATGTGCAAGATCCAAAGGTAAGCACGTCATCCTGTGTGTTATATACAGCTTTTAATGCATGACAATTAATGTTTTAAAAAAACCCACAACGCTATCTCTGAGTTATACAGTGTTTTGTAGAGATGCTTTATTGCTTATTTCTGCTTGCAGAGTTCAGCTAAACCAGCAGATTGGAAATACCAGAGTGCTCTGTCTGCTACCTGGTTAGCTTTGGACTGCACCGTAAATGTTAATATTCACATTCCACTTCTTGCTACTTCACCAAACCATGACTTGGAGAAGAATACCAAGGTAACTAACCAGCTGCTCTGATTGTGTAGTTGGTCTCTACGCTACTTTTTCTGTTGAAAATTAAATGAGAGAGAAAAATCAGAATAGTTTGAGTAGACGAGTAGAACTATTTGGTGGAGAATGTTTGGCAGTTATTCAGCTTCTAAATGTAGTTTGAAGTTGCTATGAGGATAGCTTTTATTCTGCTCTGCTTAGTGTTGGCCATTTCCTTTGCTCAAACTTGTTTATCGATTGTCATGAGTATTCCAACTAAAGTCTCCTGTGCTTCACCTAGTGAAATCACAGAATCTTAGTGGTTGGAAGGGACCTCCGAGGTAGTCCAACCACATTAAAAAAAATAACAAAAAAACCCCCCAAAAAAACCCCAAAACACCACCCACCAACTAAACCTCATACCCACAACCCCACACACAACACCCTTGGGCACTAGATAATCTTGGGCACTAGAGCATGCCCTGAAGAGCCATGTCTACACATTTCTTAAATACCTCCAGGGATGGTGACTCCACCGCCTCCCTGGGCAGGCTGTTCCAGTGCCTGACCACTCTTTCAGTAAAGTAATTCTTCCTAATATCTAATATCTAATGTTACATCCAATACATATCTAATGTTACATCCAATTAGAACAGCGGCATGGGGTGCTTTTAATATGAATTGACTTTCAGTTGGCTGCATCTGTCTCTACAAAAGTAAAGTCCCTGGGGTACTACTTAAATATTTTGAAGTGCTTCTTTGTTGAGGATATATTCTGAACATGTTGGTTTTAAGATTTAGTTTTGGAAAAACATAGAGACAAATTTTTCAGAGACTTTAAAACTCTCTCGAGTAACTGTTGAAATGACTATTTCTGTAATTTTCATCATGATACTGTCCAACTCCTTTAGTGAAATTCTCTTTCCTGTTTCTAATGAGATCTTTGTGTTTTCACTTTGGT